CTAATGAGACCATAAGTCCCTCATGCGAAGCGTTGGACCTCTCGGATGAGACTTCTATCAAGCTATCAAACAAGACTTTTAACTAAGTCTCTTAGGTTACATTAGTCGCATCTCCTGAGAAAGATTCGTATAAGAAGTCCCACCTGAGGAAACTTTAAGTCCCTCAGGAGAGGATTTGGATAGACAACTCAATGGGAACTCTTAGTCTCACCGACGGACTTATATTGAGCCTAGCTGATAAGACTAACAGCCCCTCAGGTGAGGCGTAGGACCTCTCGGACAGAAATTTTATCAAGTCCACAAACAAGACTTTTAACTAAGTTTTTAGGTTAGACTTCATCCGTGCCTCCTGGGCGAGATTCGTAAATGAGGTTCCATCTGAGGAAACTTTAAGTCCCTCGGGCGAGGAGTTGGATATCCAGCTTGACAAAAAGTCTTAGTCCCGTAGGCAAAGTTATATTTAGCATGACTGATGAGAATATGAGTCCCTCAGGAGAGGTGTTACACCTCTCAGTATGAAATTTTATAAAGCCCTCAGACAAGACTTTTAACTAAGTCTTTTAGGGTAGACTTCATTCGCTCCTCCTGGGCGAGATTCTTATATGGGGTCTCGCCTGAGGAAACTTTAAGCCTAATGAGCAAGAAGTTAGATAGCATGATCGATGGGAAATCTTAGTCGTGTAAGAAAAGTTATATCAAGTCTGGCTGATGAGCCTATGAGTCCCTCAAGTGAGGAATTAGACCTCTTAGGTGGGACTTCTATCAAACCCTCAAACAAGACATTTAACTAAGTTTCTTAAACTAGACTTCAGTTGCGCCTCTTGGGAGAGATTCGTATATGGGGTCCCGCCTGAGGAAATTTTAAGTCCCTCGGAAGAGGAGTTTAGTTAAGCCTATTCGTATAACCATAAATGATGGTCAGGACCTTTCTATGGAATTCCAACATTCATAATATTGCTTTAAGAGGCGGTAAGGATCTTCTTGTGGAAGTCCAAAATTCATAATATTACCTTAAAAGGCGATAAGAATCTTCGCCGTGAAATCCAATATACACAATATTGCCTTAAGAGGCGCTAAGGATCTTTTCAAGAAAGTTCAGCATACAAAATATTGATTTAAGATGCGACAATGATCTTCGCCATAAAGTCCAACACACATAATATTGTTTTAAGAGGCGATAAGGATCTTTCCAAGAAAGTTCAATGTACATATTATTTCTTCAAGAGGCAGCAATGATCATCCCAAGGAAGTTTAGCGTACAAAATATTAAAATAAATGTTTTTGTTCACAAAAAAAACAAGAAATTGTTAACAGGTAAATAATTATGTCTCTCAAGAAATTTCAATTATTTTACTGTAATAATATTTAATATAAAGGGCATTATAGGTTCTGCATAGGTTTTGTCCATCTAACTCTTGCAACTTGTACGCATAATGAGGAAGCTTTTGGAATATGTGATATGGTGCTTTCTAGTTGGTTTCAAATTTTCCTTGCTGTGCGTGCAGAACTACCTACTTCAAGATCGGCCCAACTTCTCACATCTTCCTCTACTTGACTTTGGAGTTGTACCTTGTGGCAGCTTTATGTTTAGCTGAGTGTTCTCGGACATGGGCAATTTCTCTCAATTCTTCTTTGTTTATCTCTTGATTAAACTGAGAACATCCCATGAGAGTGTGTCAATCTCTACGAACAGCGTGACATCTGCTTCGTACACTATGGAGGATGGGATTTTCTTGGTAGTAGAGTGAGAGGTGATGTGATATGATTACAATATTCCATGGAGCAGTTCTACCCATAAGTCTTCGGCATCATCAAGTTTTTTTTTTTAATAATAATAATAATAATAATTATATATAATAATATATTTTTTTGGATGTGTACCTCTATAAATAGGTGTCTCCATAAATGGATGTACAAGTGTTATTTCTCCATTAAAAAAACATGAATTGAAGACATTCAGATATTTAACGCTACCATTGAAGACCCACACACACCTACTAATCTTAAAACATCAAAACAACAATTTTTGTTATTCTTCAAACATCAATCTTCACACACCAATACAAACCATGTCTTCTTCTTTCTTCAAATTCAACACGTTCCATTTTTCTATCATCATATTCATTTTACATGTCTTTTCTGCAACACCCATTTTGTCAGACAATTCCTCATTCAACAACTTTCTAGACATTGCCAAAAGTCCAGAGGTTTTTGATTGGATGATCAGTATCAGAAGAAAGATTCACGAGAATCCTGAACTGAGTTATGAAGAATTTGAGACAAGTGAAGTGATAAGATCGGAATTAGATAAAATGGGTATACCTTATAAACATCCAGTTGCAATCACTGGTGTCATTGGTTTCATAGGAACTGGACTCTCTCCTTTTGTTGCTTTAAGAGCTGATATGGACGCTCTTCCTATGCAGGTTCATTCATTACTTCATTTTCTCAATTTTTGTGTTTTGCTATTATATTTACATATGATGTTTGAATCTTAGGAAATGGTGGAGTGGGAGCATAAGAGTAAAGTATCTGGAAAAATGCATGCTTGTGGTCATGATGCTCATGTTACCATGCTACTTGGAGCTGCAAAGATTCTCAAACATCATGAAAAAGAGATACTAGTGAGATCTTTAATTTATCCTAACTTGTTTATTTTGGTTTCCTTTATGATGTATTAATTTTACATTCTGCTATAGTTTTGGGAGAATCTGTTGCGAGCACGAGTTTGATCGCTGGCTTGAACAATCTTTCACCAGACATTACCTACCTCTTAACTCAGATTATCTTGACCACTTTCCTCTAAAAACAAAGTTTTAGGACAAAAAATATATTCTTCTTTGTTTTGACTTAGATTCTGATGTGTGTTTAAAATGTGTGGCTGCTACTCTATTGTCCAAATTGTCATTAACTATAAATTTGGTTGTTTTGGTGATTTCACGCTTTTTATTTTAAGTCAAAGTGAAACATATATCTCTTTGGTTTGTACCGTATTCGTAACTTTTGTAACTTACAGACTTTTCTCATGGATTACTGATAAATTGTTTATTTTGTCGTTTAATTCAGGGAACTGTTGTTCTTGTTTTCCAACCAGCAGAGGAAGGAGGTGGAGGGGCTAAGAAAATTGTAGAATCTGGAGTATTAGAAAATGTTACATCTATATTTGGATTGCATATTGCTCCTGAATTACCAATAGGTGAAGTGGCCTCTAGGTCTGGTCCAATAATGGCCGGAAGTGGCCGCTTTGAAGCAAAAATAAGTGGAAAAGGAGGTCATGCTGCTATTCCTCAACAGGCTATAGACCCTATATTGGCAGCTTCCAATGTGGTTATTAGCTTACAACACCTTGTTTCTCGCGAGGCTGATCCTCTCGACTCCCAGGTAAATTTTGTCAATTCTTCATTTTCTTTCCTATTATCCACGTATTTATCGTTATTTCGTACTTGGGTCATGTTTGGATAAACAACTTCATTAAGTGCTTATAGCATAAATGCAACAGCATCACAACCACAATTGTGGTCACACTCACATCAGCCACATTTGTCTATATTTTACCACAATATAAAAGTTTGAAGCTAGACTGCAAGCTCAATTTAGAATCACTGTCTATGAATAAGTTGATTTATGAGAATACAATTATAAAACAAGTTTTTAATGACAATAGAGAGATATATGAGCCAGACCTTTAGGATGTATATATGGTGCGTGAGCATTTTTATTTGTAAGAAATTTCTGATTACCTAGATATATGAATGGCATGTTTGCACAGGTTGTGACGATTGCAAAGTTCCAAGGAGGTAGTGCTTTCAATGTTATTCCAGACTATGTCACAATTGGTGGCACCTACCGAGCTTTTTCTAAACAAAGCTTTAACCAACTAAGACAGCGGATTAAACAGGTATGCAATGGAAATCATTCAATTCAGTTTGAATGAGAGAGAATAAGACACAGACCTTAAAACCAGTTCTTTTATGCAGATTATTGTAGGACAAGCTGATGTGCATAGATGCAATGCAACTATAGATTTCCTTGATGAAATGAAACCTAGCTATCCTCCAACCGTAAACAATGGTGACTTGCATGAGCATTTTGTGAGTGTTGCAGTGAATATGCTTGGTATCAATAAAGTTGATAGTGCCGTGACACCATCCATGGCAGCTGAAGATTTTTCTTTCTATCAAGAGGTCATGCCTGGTTACTGGTTCTGGCTTGGTGTGCAGAATGCTTCACATAAACGGTTGGAGTCATTACATTCACCTTATCTCGAAATCAATGAAGATGGACTCCCATATGGCGCTGCACTTCATGCATCGTTAGCTTCTAGTTATCTTCTAAAACATCAGCAGGATGTACCTGGGGTTGAGAGGAAATATCATGATGAATTGTAAATGTCAGTAAACACCTTAGATTTCTCTTTTTTTTGGAATTTATTTCTTCTTCTCTCTAATTGATTAGTTTCAAATAAAAATTGTCCATCAAACTTGATGCTCATATTGCTTATTCTTTTTTAATGTCCATTTTAATTACTTGTTTTTCAATTCTTAGAGTGTTCTTGAATGTTAAATTAGATTGCATATGTTCGGATGATTTCTATAATTGATTTTGCTCTAAGAGTTGATTCTGACTTGAAGTTGCAATTACAAATTTTTACCATGAAATTGGAAGACAAATGGGCAAGTGTAGGTTATAATAGTGCATAATAAAATAGCCATACACAAAAGTGGTCCTCATTGGAAGAATGCATATTCCAAAAAGAGAACTAAAACTTTTATTTGATTAACAAGTAATCCAATAAAATGCTAGTCTGTATTTTGACTAATACTAGTATAAAAGTATAGGGTTTAAATTCAATGTCCTACACATCTAAATGCCATAAGAGCAACTCAAAATTTCTGCAAAACAGAGAGCAGAAGATAAATTATGCAATCAAACCGGAGTAAGCTACCTGATAGCTAATAACTAACATGCTCCAAACGGCACACTTTCAAGGACGCTGCGACTCAGAAGCGAGACGAATTTGCTATTCCTAGAACTTTCGGCGCTAAATCTAACAGAGGACCTAAAGCATTAGGTGCAAATTTTCTAGCAAATAAGAAACAAAGTGAAGTTGGCTGGTTATTATAAAGACATGTCTGATCCTGCAAAATTTTCTTGAAGAATTCCTCTTTAATGTCATTCTTCCCAAATGTAGCTGGGTGAGCTCCGCCTCTTGACCAATCCACATATGTGAGGCTCCGATTCGCCAGAAGATGAGGAGTATTAATGGTTAACATTGTCTGGAAATAGTGTTCATCGACATAGCATTTGTGTGGGACGCAGAACTCTTTGAGTTTTGGATAGTAAGTACTGTCTTCAACTATCCTAACTGCAAGTTCGCGGTTAATTTCGAACCACTGAGACCCTTTACGCCAGTCGCTCAGGTTGATTTCAGGTTTCATGTTTTCTTCGTAGCGTCCTCTTCCGTAAGGACCAGGCTCATCAAATGCTCCCATAAAGCTATACCTTGACCGCGACAAGTAACGGTGTACAATGCTGAAGTTCTGGAGAGGGATGCAGGCCTCGGATAGAAGAACAAACCATTCATTCGAGATATCAAGCAATGCATTTGCTAGAAGCCTTCTTTCGGCATCACACATACTCATCATTCCCCATTCCGCCACCTGTAAAGAAGGAAAATAATCAGAATTCAATATGAGATTCATGTCTAAATTAATACACACTAAACACTCATATCGAATGGATTCAATTTAATATCAAATCGAGATACAAATCATGTGTATTGTAAGATACTGATAACAATACAACCATACATCAGAGCCGTCTCAAGTACGGCTCAAGTTTTTAGAAGTCTTGTGTAGGTTAGACACGGTTCAACCATGACAAAACAGTTAGAGACCCTATTTAGGTACTATTTAACCTTGACAAATTTTAGGTCCTACGCAGTAGCCTGTTTTGCACGTCCTCAAAGACGCTCTGCCATACATTAAAACACCAACAAACAAACTTGAAACAAAATAAAGCTAGCTCGTACCTGGCTAGGGATCTGTCTTTGATAAAAAACCGACGATGGTGGAAAATCAGCATTGTAAGACGGCAACGAATGAACATAGATGGAATAAAGCTTCTCGTGTCCCTTAAAGAACCTCTCCCAAAGTGGTGCCATTGGCAAAGGTCCCTTAGTCAAGAACATAAACGCGATTTTCGGAGTTCTTTTAAACGGATACCTCTGAATCCTCGGAGCAAAAGAAGCTCTCCAGAAGAGCTCAGCATCATTCATACTATGCAACAAACTAGAAGGAGCCTTAAACCAATTCTCCACAACCGCCGGCCTCTGAAAACAAGGCTTACCCAGCGACGATTGAACAAAAGCCACATTATGAATACCAAAATGCCTAATCATATACATGCTAAGAAATGAACCACCAATCCCAATAACCAGAAAGAGTAAGAAAAACTGCAAAAGCCTCAAAGGAAATTGCCTAGAGTGTGTGACTCTTAATGTAGATATTGCAGCAGGGTCCTTCCCTTCCTCCAATCTTGTAGGAAGCATAGTTTTTCTCTCTCTCTCTCTCTCTCTCTCTCTCTCTCTCACAATCAAATCTAAGATCTTGTTACTTGTCTAACTTCATAAACAACCAAATCCCAAAACAAAACAAAAAAACTCACTTTCCACAACAAAACCAGATCAAAACAAAATTGTCATGCTCATAAATACACACACACTATTCAAAATTTCAGCAATATTAACCAAACCCCATATGAAGGAATAGATCAAAACTAAATAAATAAGAGAAAAATTCAGCAGCCCAATAAAAGTTACAATTATGATATCATTGAAAAATCAAAGGGTTATGAAAAAAATCAAAACTTTAGAGAGAGAAATTTGAGAATATTTTTGTTAATGGTATCTCACTCAGCAACCCTTTTTTCATGTTATTCATGATTCATCATTCACTCACAACTGTATAAAAACGTGGTGAGTTTTGCTTTGTGAGAGAATGAGAATAAAAACCTCAGTTAAAGGGAAAGTTGATAAATGGTGCTTCCAAGGTGAGAGAGAATAACCAATCAAAAAGAAACAACAACGTTGTAAAAAGGTTGTTTTTTTTTTTTTGGGTTTTGTTGTAAGTTTTTTTTTTTGGTATTGAATTGTTATTTTTTGGTAATTTTTGTGGCTTATTATGGGTGCACGTGTATTATTATTATATTATTACTATTTTGCGACTAAATTTTACATTTTTTAATATTCAAAGTAAACTTGAGAAAAAATGAAATATTGCTGAATATCATTAGTATTTGTAAAACAAATTCATAAAGCCAATGTATGTTTATTATATACATAAAATTACATCTTTAAATTACTTTTCTTGGTTCTAAATTTTATGATATTTTGACTATTTCATAGTCAAAAGTTTGTTTAATATAATAGAGAATTTGCATTTTATAATAAAAAGTTTACTAAATATAATAAAATATAATGTATTATTTCCTCTCATTCTTAATATCATAAAATTTTTATTTTTTATATTTATTGAATAATTAATATATTTACTATAATAATGTATACATAAGTTATATTAGTTATTTAATATATTTAATATATTTAAAAAGCATTAATTATTTAATATATTTAATATTATTTATTCATTCTACTTTTTTAATTTCTCTCTCAAAGTTATACATAACCTTTTTTTTTAAAGTAGTAATTAAATTTTTTAATTTATGTGAAATGTCCAAAATAATAAAAATAGTATAAAATATTATATTTTGCATTTGTATATAACATGGTGCAAAGAGCACACTAATAATTAGTAGTAAAAATGATTTAATAAAGATATAATACATTTTAACAATTTTGTTATTTTATTTTAATTGATCAGTTTTCTAAATATGTTAAGCACTTATTGAAGATGGTATTGGTGTAGTTTCTAGATAAAGAATTTCGTGTAAAGATTGTTAAATGATTTTTCTAAATTTTTCTTGTTTTGAGCATTTTCCCCTATCTGTTTTTACAAGGTAAGAATAATTTGATGTTATTCGAAGGTAAAAGTAGAATCATTTAAGAGGCACCAAACATTTTGAGTCAATTGCTGGATAGATTGTTCTTTTTCTTTACTTAAACGTTTTAATGTCGATCATGGCAACGTTCAACTTATGATTGTTTTAGTAAAGACGAGAAAAAGAAAGTGACACGCCAAGTGACTAATTAATTAAATAATTAATGCTTATGATAGTGTAAATGATCTTTTCATAAGTGGGACCTCATGAATTCAAATTCGTGTCTATACAGTTGGAGGTATTTACATAATTAGTAACTAAATTAACTTATGAGACTAATATATTATTATTTTTATTTAAGGAAGAAGTGTTTTTTAAAGTTGTTTAATTTAAAATGCTTTGTTTTGTTGAAGAACAAAATAATGCTCAGATATATAAAATTGGTTGTTGTGTCGAGGTAGAGGTGGAGTTGAATTTCAATGCGGTGAATAACATTAACATGTAATGTTAATATTTCAACGCTCAAGTTAGTAAATGAAATGAATAGTGAATTTTGAATGAGAGTGAATCGTACTTGAAATGACATGATAACTGATCTTACTGGCCGATCAGAATTTAAAATGGGTTAGAGACAACGTCTGCGATGCTGGGTGTGAAAGATGAGGAGAAATATATCTGCAAAACACTCTGATACTAAAGTGAGAATCGGGAGAAAAGAAGACAAACACGGAGTATGTGTGTATGTGTTAGGATGATTATTGAATACCTGACTCTCTGAAATGAGAGGGTTTTTATAGTGCTCCTAACATTTGGCCATTGGTCCCTATTTTTGGTGCGAGATATTCGCTCCCCAAAGAATAGGTAACTGCTAGAAACTAGTCGTTGAGACGGGCAGAGGTCCCTAGAACTAGTCGTTGTTAGGGGCAGAGGCACAGTAATGTGCACATGTGTCGTGACTGTTTTTGGATGGTGGAACCGTGCGTGACGGGCAGGAACTGCTGGGGAGGGGCAATTGACCTTAGAGGTCAATCGACCAGCCTCCCCTAGTAGAGGGGCAAAAAGGTAAATATTGTCTTAAATTGGCTGAGCTTAGGCAATTGGGTCGTTTTGAGAGTAGAAGTGGATTGGGTCACACCTAGCCATTGGGTCAGTCAGGAACAGGAGCCTCCCAAGTTCTTGCTCCCGAGCATAGAAGTGATGACTTAAGGGAAAATCATAGTCCCGAGGACGACCAAACATGGTTGTCGCCTGTTGCTGAGATGAGGTTGTTCCTTGATGCCCGAGGAAATCTATGCCCGGGGGACCTGTAACGTTGCCTGGCGGGGAGCCCAAAGTACGAGGAGCCCAACGATTGATGTGATCTGAAGAGGTGGAGTGACATGCGTGCCTCGAGCCATGTGTCACATTTAATACGTAATGATGGTTAGGCTAGAGTCATGATGATGCACCTAGTCGTGCGTGCTCGTGCATGTGCCTATGGACTGTCTACAAATGAAATATATATTTACATTTCATTTTTTTCTTAAATTTGCATCTTCTCTAGTAAGTAAAACCCTAAATCAAGGTATTTGGGTATGTGTTAACGGCGAAGAAGAAGAAAAGTTTTTTGCAACTGAATTTCATTTCTCTTGCAAGGCATTTGGGTTTCGATTTCTGGATTATAGGTTTTAATTTTTCGATTATGGGTCTCGATTTCAATTTCTTTAGTTTCTGGGTTTTAATTTATGGATTCTTGGTTTCATTTCTCTTACTATATATTTTTGGTTTGTGGTGTTCTTCATGCTTATCTGAAAAATTCAAAAATTCTGGTATGTGGATTCTTGTTTAAATTCGGGAAATTAGCATTACATAAAAATCTATTTCTGGTTTGTGGTTCTTCATGCTTATTTGAAATTTTTGGATGACCTCCATGGGCCATATCTGTACACACTGTTAGGTTGTCTCTTTATGCGATCGAAAAATAAATTGTTAAGGTGTAAAATATGGTTGTAGCTAAAATACCCCCCATCTTTCACGATAGTAACAACCAATCCTCCACTAGTGCTTCCCAACCCAGTTGTATAACAGATCGGTTGCTCGATTTTGCAGCAAATTTCAGAAAGTTTGATTTTCCAGTGCCTAAAACAAAATTGACATAAACAATAAGTGAGTGAAATGTACACCGTTAACATTTCAATTTATGATGAGGCCATGGTGATATGACAAAATCATAGTATATGCAGAGGTTTCTTCTTACTCAATTTGCAGTTTGGAAAAAAATCATCTGAAGAAGACAAAGATTTATTATGTGGCATACACATGGCTACCACCTAGACAAAATAAAATTGCACCTAACCATTTCAAATTCCACATCAGTGCCACATAGGTCATTTTATTGACTTTGACTAGCTGAGTAAACGGAAAGGACTAACGTGACAGATTGTGTATAATTGAGGGACCATTTTGGCACTTTTAAAATTTAAGGGACCAAAATGGACCCCGAGATAAAGTTAAGGGACTAAAAAGGGTATTTTGCCTAAAATCTAGTACACAATAATAATCTAAAAGGCCTTATAGCTTCCACCTCCACTAACTTGTCATTTCCAACATAGATGTAACATTTAACATCATTTGGATTCCGGTAGTTTAGGAAACCCTACATTGAAACACTGATGTTAGTAGTTGCCACTGAGTCTAACCACCAAGTGTTTCTAGGTACCGAAGATAAATTGACCTCAAAACAGACCAAAGTAAGAAATGTACCTTTCCTTGAAAGCCAAGTATGATATTGGGGACATTTCTTCTTAACATGTCTATACATATTGCAAAAGAAACATCTATCACCCTATTTTTGTTTATTTTGTGCTGGAACATTTGCAACTTCATTTTTGGCCTCATTAGTTTTCTTTCTATTGCCCTTGTCCTTAGAGGTGCCAACAAAATGAGCACTTTTTGTATTATCTTGCTTCATCCTTTTCTCTTCTTACACACAAAATGAAATGAGCTCATTAAGAGACCATTTATCCTTTTGACAATTATAAGATATCTTAAGTTGACTGATTTGTGAAGTAAAATAAAGTAATACTAAATGAATGCAAGTCTTCAGACAACTCAAGCTTTAGTGCCTTAGGTTTTGAAACAATGTTTCACATGTCATAATGTATTACCTTATATTTTATTTGCATTGATACTTCATGGAAATCAAATTTTGACAAAGAGTACATGTTTTCGCCTTATCACTTTTCTTGAAGCGCTTTTCAATCTCAACAAAGAAATTTTTGGTAGCTGTTATATCTTTCAATATATTACCCATAAAGGCCTCAGAAATGCCGCACTTAATAACCACAAGACTCATGCGATTGGAGCAATCCTACTTCTCATAATTTTTTCTCTGTTAAGATGTATTAGATTTTGTAAGAGAAATCGGTTGCTCTGTTCTTAATGCAATGTCAAGATCCATGCAGTTAGGAACTATTTACATGTTCTCTTTCTAGTCCTTGAAATTTCCCCATTAAGAACTGAAGCTGAATTCAGATTAGGAGATATTGAAGTAATTGTAGCTGAAAATAAAAC